TCCCACTAACCTCCAACGCCAAGGACTTCCCCAATACCACATTGGATTCCTCAACTGGCATAGGATTCTCAGGGTTAGCCTCAAACCCTTCACAATCCCTTTTGTCTACACATTCTGGCCACAGTTTTTTCCAAGCAGAATTCAAGGTCCTCTTAGTCACTTCCTCCCAAGCCTTACCTATAATGTTTACACAATTGAGGATGGTAAAATGATCTTTCCAAAACTCTCTTAGAATCAGTTGAGTTTCTGAGATCACTACAAAGCACCTTTCAAACATAGCTTTTGTGTACAGTTTCTTGAAGTTGGAAATGACCTGCTGGTCCATGGGCTGCAGGAGAGGAGTGGTATTAGGAGGCAAAAACTTGACCTTAATGAAGCTCATGTCCCCAGAAAGTCGCTCTGCCAAGTCTGAAGGATGACCAGGAGCATTGTCTAATACCAGGAGGCACTTAAGGTCTAATTTCTTTTCAATTAGGTAATTTTTCACATTGGGGGCAAATGCATAGTGTAACCAGTCATAGAAAAAGTCCCTAGTGACCCATGCCTTACTGTTTGCTCTCCACAGCACACACAAATTAGCCTTGACGACATTGTTTTTCCTGAACACTCTGGGAGTTTCAGAGTGATACACCAATAAAGGCTTCACTTTACAATCACCACTAGCATTGGCACACATCAACAGAGTAAGCCTGTCTTTCATAGGCTTATGTCCTGGGAGTGCCTTTTCCTCCTGAGTAATGTAGGTCCTGCTTGGCATTTTCTTCCAAAACAGGCCTGTTTCGTCACAATTAAACACTTGTTCAGGTTTCAGTCCTTTACTGTCTATGTACTCCTTGAATTCCTGCACATATTTTTCAGCCGCTTTGTGGTCCGAACTGGCAGCCTCACCATGCCTTATCACACTATGAATGCCACTACGCTTCTTAAATCTCTCAAACCAACCTTTGCTGGCCTTAAATTCACTCACATCACTAGTTGCTGGCATTTTGTTAATTAAATCGTCATGCAACTTCCTAGCCTTTTCACATATGATCGCTTGAGAGATGCTATCTCCTGCTATCTGTTTCTCGTTTATCCACACCAATAAGAGTCTCTCAACATCTTCTACCGCTTGCGATCTCAGTTTCGAAAACATAGTTGCACCTTTGGCAAGAACAGCTTCCTTGATTGCCGTTTTCTTGCCCACAATAGTAGCGATGGTTGATTGGGGTTTATTATACAACCTGACCAGCTCAGAGACAAGCACTCCACTTTCATACTTAGCAATGATCTCTTTCATCATCTCCATAGTAATTCTCACCCTTTTTGCTGTAGGGTTGGCACTAGAAGCTTTCTTGGGGCCCATGGTGACCTATTTTGCAGGTGCAATCACTACAAAGGCTGTGATAATATGAAATGTTCCAGTTGTATGTTTGGAAGCGACCGTGGTGACTGGCTTGTAAACACTGGCACACACGGGACAAGTGAGGCGCGCTCAGGCCAAAGTGGACGCGTCTCGTACGGAACGAATAGCGCTGGTCGGGTTTTTAAGCGCTAGTCGAGGCAAAATTTTTGCGTTAAAATGCATCGCTATTCAGATTTATCGTTAATCGATGCCATCACTGGTTGAGGGTCCACTGTACTGCATTTTTAAAACTATTCTGTGAGGGAAAAGTTCAACAGATAGGAGTAGCGAGCGAGTATATGGTAACGATAGTTTGATTGCCGGCTGCTTGTTAAGGTAGGGTCAGTCTAGCTCCCGCTATCCCCTTCCCCCCCCCTTTATCCCCACCCCAAAAGGTGACGTGTGGGGCTCCAGCCAAACAGTAATCACTCGACTCACAGCTCCCAGCACAACTGTAAGTAAAAGCCTCTGCTCCTATTCTAGTGGATACTGGTTGAAAGCTTCACTTTTGACCAATAATGAACTTAGTCCTTTCAGTTTTAAGCTCCACATGAGACTTTTAGATAATCACCACCTTTTTTAAGTATCTTGCACTTATCATGGAGAGTGATTTCTTAAGCAGTGGGTAACCTGTCTCTCTTTCCAGCTTGGAATGACAGATCGGGTCACCTGCCAGCCAACAAGAAGTGTTGAAGGAGATGGACTGAAAACAGTCTTGGGACGTCACCTCATGATCTACCTACCTGATTAGTTGTACAGGACACTACCCCTCATCTTTGCAGCAGTAAAGAACCTGCGTTCCTGTCATGTGGACTGACTATTCAAGGCTATAGACTCTGTGAAGAACTAGTCGTTGGGTTGTCACTCAACACCTGTGACCCCCCCCCCCCACATCATCAACGACTACAATTTCTACAAGACTGTGTCAACATCAACCAGACACCCCAGTTTACTTGTACATATTAGTGTTGAATTCAAATGGCAATTTTTCTTTTCATTTTTCATTTTTCTTTCAAGTAGGATACACCTTCATATTTCAATGTTTTATCTTTGCATTAATAAATAATAAATTGTTTATCTTTGTGAATTATTATTTCTTTTTCTATTCATTAATTTTCCTGAGGAGGAGCCAGCCTTGGTAATACTGTCTGAAGTTGTTACAGGGCTGAGTAAGCCTTCACATATTCCAACCCTCTTCAACCACCCCACTACTCATACTTGCACAAGCCCACCTTTCTGCCAGTAGTTGCTTATATCTCACCGAACTTCCTCCTCCCTTAGTTTATACACTTTCACCTCTCTCTTACTTGTTGTTGCCATTTTCCTTTTGTCCCATCTACCTCTTACTCTAACTGTAGCTACAACTAAATAATGATCCGATATATCAGTTGCCCCTTTATAAACGTGTACATCCTGAAGCCTACCCATCAACATTTATCCACTAATACATAATCTGACAAACTACTTTCATTACGTGCTATATCATACCTTGTATACTTATTTATCCTCTTTTTCATAAAATATGTATTACTTATTACCAAACCTCTTTCTACACATAGCTCAATTAAAGGCTCCTCATTTTCATTTACCCCCTGGCACCCCAAATTTACTTACTATTCCTCTGCAACATTTTTACCCACTTTAGCATTGAAATTCCCAATCACAAGTACCCTCACACTTGGTTCAAAACTCTCCATGCACTCGCTCAACATTTCCCAAAATCTCTCTCTCTCTCCTCTACACTTCTCTCTTCTCCAGGTGCATAAACACTTACTATAACCTACTTTTAACATCGAACCCTTATTTTACTCCACATAATACTTGAATTAATACATTTATATTCCCTCTTTTCCTGCCATAACTTGTCCTTCAACATTATTGCTACTCCTCCTTTAGCTTTAACTATTTGAAACCCCTGACCTAATCCTATTTATTTCTCCCAGTGAAGCTCTCCCACCCTCTTCAGTTCTGTTTCACTTAAAGCCAGGACATTCAGTATCTTCTCATTCATAACATCCACAATCATGTCTTTCTTATCATTTGCACAACATCCACGCACATTCAAACATCCCACTTTGATGGTTTTCTTCTTTTTCTTTTTAGTAGGCTATACAGGAAAAGGGGTTACTGGCTCAATGTTCCCGGCATTTTAGTCGACTTTTACAACACGCATGGCTTACGGATGAAAGATTCTTATTCCACTTCCCCATGGATATGAAAGGAAAAGCAATAAGAACTTTTTTTTTTTTTTTTTTTTTTCAACAAGTCGGCCGTCTCCCACCGAGGCAGGGTGACCCAAAAAAGAAAGAAAATCCCCAAAAAGAAAATACTTTCATCATCATTCAACACTTTCACCACACTCACACATTATCACTTTTTGCAGAGGTGCTCAGAATACAACAGTTTAGAAGCATACACATATAAAGATACACAACATATCCCTCCAAACTGCCAATATCCCAAGCCCCTCCTTTAAAGTGCAGGCATTGTACTTCCCATTTTTAGGACTCAAGTCTGACTATATGAAAATAACTGGTTTCCCTGAATCCCTCCACTAAATATTACCCTGCTCACACTCCAACAGATCGTCTGGTCCCAAGTACCATTCGTTTCCATTCACTCCTATCTAACACGCTCACGCACGCTTACTGGAAGTCCAAGCCCCTTGCCCACAAAACTATTAAGATAAAATCAAAGAAAACTCAGATGAGTGTGTATACATAAACATGTACATGTATGTGGAGTGTGACCTAAGTGTAAGTTGAAGTAGCAAGACGTACCTGAAATCTTGCATGTTTATGAGACAAAAAAAAAAAAGATACCAGCAATCCTACCATCATGTAAAACAATTACAGGCTTTCGTTTTACACTCACTTGGCAGAACGGTAGTACCTCCCTGGGTGGTTGCTGTCTACCAGCCTACTACTAATATACAATATACATAAGTATAATATCAGAGTACACCTACCATCCGCCTTACGACCTGCTCGACTTACGACCACTCGACTTACGACCGTGTTTTTTTTCTTTTCCAAATTTCTGGGAAATAAGCCACTATTTGTGTTGTACACAGTGTTTATCCTAAACCTTACAGTATAAAATACAGTACTAACAGCATAAAAAGTAAAGTAAAACATGAAATACCAAAGTAAAGCAATAAAATAAAGTCATTGCAAAAATGTGATATTGATATTCAGTAGTAAAGTTCGACTTACGACCATTTCAACTTACGACCGGTTTCTCGGAACCGAACTCGGTCATAGTTGGATGGTAGGTGTATATATAAAATATGAAAGAACATTTAAAAACACTTGAAATTTTGGAAAGTTTCCAGACATAATGGAGAGATGCGGTGCTCACGGAGAATGTAAACAGAGTGGGGCGCTGTATAGCGAGTTTTGGTCATAATTTGAAATGTCCGTATTGGCGGAACGCTGCAAAGTGAAGGGCCGTAAAGCGGGGCCCTACTGTATATAATTTTTTGTATGTATTCTTATAAATTGAGGGAGGAATCCATGTGGAATCTCATCAAATTCTTTCAGTTAGATATAGAGTATTTTATTGTACAGTATTCATGTTGTGTGTTTTATAAAAAAAAAGTGGCATACCATTACAGGATCTCAGCTTCTTGCAGTACATTTGAGATTCCGATGCAGTCATGCAGGCGTTTTAGCAAGAGTCGGTCTTAGTTATGGCTTGGCTGCCATTGTGTCTCCTTCCATCACATCAATGACAAGTAAATTGCTTGGGTAAGTAGTGGTAGGAATTCCATATTAGCCACATTAATTTTTTGGGACAATATGGTAGCTACATTTAGCTACATTAACACAGCATCAAAAGACAACTAACTTTCAGAGAGCCACAAAAAGCTTACAAGTAATAAATTAAAATTCAGTTGCCTTGTCATATTCTTTTTTCTATTCCTTAAGAGTTGAAATTAAGAAGGTATACACAGTATATAAAGTGCTGTATTTTATGAAGTTTTTAACATTTACTTTGGAGGTTACATGTATTTCATTATACTGTGATTGATTTATTCCATTTGTGGTACAGTACTTGTCATTTTTCAACTATTCTTTTATTTTCTTGTTAGTTTTAAATAAAGTACTGTCCATGTGTTAAGAAATTTATTATTTCTCTGCTGTGTTGATTCATCAACACTGTCACCAACCACAATGTTATTTGAGATGTTATATTAGTCAGTTTTAGTACACATGCCATAAGTACATTCTACCCACATTCAGCTTTGCTTACTTGAACCAATGAATGATTTGTATTTTTTCCTTTAGTCCATTGTTTAGGATAGTATAATAAATCCATTTCTTAAAATTCAGTTGAATTCCTCCCTGTCTAGGAAAATGGAAGCATAAAGGGAAGATAATTAATACCTAGAATTGTAGAGAAGAATGAAAGCTCAAAATTTCATTGGCGCCATTATTTGTAAATTAAATCAAGGGGATAAAAGTGCTGGAATAGTTCATTGTGTGTATATTAGAGAAAGTGCTCTAGTATTGAGAGCATGACTGATCTTTCTTATACAGAATGGGAAAGTAACCATAATACATGAATTATAGGGATTTAAATCTATTACATATACATTTGTACCCCCAAAATTTGCAAATAATTAAAGTTATTTGTAGGATACCTTTTATCAAAAACATGAAATGATTAAAATGCACAAATTTGGGAGTTTATGTAGTAGGTAAAGTGTATAACAGAACTATGATTGATAAAATAAGTGGATAAATAAAGTATAATTGAATAAAAATAGAGTATATTTAGAACAAAATGGTAGGACAAATAAGATAGGGTGGATAGGGAAGCAATGTGGCAGAATTTGCAAATGTGTGGAATAGGTGGTAGGTTACTAAAGAGAGTACAGAGTTTGTATGTTGATAATGAGGCTCAGGTTAGAATATGTAGGGCATGGGGGATTTTTTTTTAAGTAAAAGTAGGCCTTTAGACAGGGATGTGTGATCTCACCATGGTTGTTTAACTTACTGTTTTTCTAGTTGGTTGTAAAAGAAATGAATGCTGGGGTGTTGGGGAAAGGTGTTGGATTAAAAGATAATGATAATTCTGATACACATTGGAAATTGTTATAGTTGCTCTTGACTAATGACTTGGTTCTTGTAGGAGATTTGAAGAGAAATTGAAAGGGTTATTGGACAAATTTGAGAGGGTATGTAAAATATAGAAATTAAATATGAACGTACAAAAAAGTTTAAAGTCTAGGCAATGAAAAATTGGACATCAGATTGGAAGGAGTACAGAGGAAGTGAATATATTTGGGAGTGGATTTGTCAGCATGGGTCTTTGAAAAATGAAGGGGGGAAAAAATTGGTGGCAGCTTGAGGCATCTGTAGAAAAAATAAAATTACCTATGGAGGCAAAAATGGGAATATACCAGAGTACTATATAATGGTGCCAACACTTATATGGGTGTGAGGTATTGGCTTCAAATGTTGCAACAAGGATGATGCAATGTATGATGTGAATAATATGCAGAGAATTCAGAGTGTAGAAACTAGAAGACAGTGTGGGGTTACCAAAGGTATAATTCAGAGGCCTGAGAAGACATTGTTGAGGTGGTTTAGTCAGTGTGTATGGATCAGAATAGGATGACCAGAAGGGTGTATATAGCTGGGGAAGGAAAAATGGGTAGGGGTCATCCCAAGAAGGGTTGGAGGGAGGGGGTAAATGAGGTTTTGAGTGTTAAGGACTTAAGCAATCAGCAGGATAGTGAAAGTGTGGATTAGATCATAGTAAATTGTTTTGATACCGTATGCGGCTGCTATTAATTATATAATGTAGCATGATCACATTTATATACAGTAGTAAAGGTAATACTGTACTGTTCATCAATAATGACATGGTCCTCTTTACCAGGAGTTTCATTAACTATCAGCTAGTTACCCTAGTGAGTCTCCTGAGTATGATGGCAGTCCTTAGGCTCTTAGGCAGTAACTCTTTAGAGTTTTCCAGTAAGTACTTTCCCTTTATATACATCTATCATGGAGTAGCTACTGTAGAATGCTTTTGAATTTTTGCACTGTAATGGACATATTCTTGGCTTATCTGCATGGTAATGAATAATAGTCTATCTGGTGTGTTTTTTGCATGGTAGGTTAGATACAGGAAGTTCCACACTTACAAATGCTTCAAGTTACACAAACATTCACACTTAAAAACTAGGCACTTAGGAAACAATTTTTTTTCAACAGTTGCTGGTACACAGTATGAAAATTTGTGAAACGAGAGCCATTCTTTGTGCTGTGCTATTGTTTTTATATATAAAAAACTTAGAATATAAGTTGAAATACTAGGAACAACTCATTTGCAAGATGGGTAACCCTTGTATTTACTTGTTCTTCATATGAAATAATTAATACTGTATATTCTTCTTTAGAAGCTATTTTTCAATTGTAGAGATCTTTTATAAGGTGTACTGCAGCCTCTTTTTAGAGCCTATTTTTTGGGGGGGGGCCTTACAAGTGTTTGTACCAGGTGTTTATGCTCATGACCAGAAAGGATAAGAAAGATATTGTTGGGCTTACTTTCAAATGGTTACTTTTTTAAATGAATTGAGCAAGCTAGTGCAGTTTGTTCTGAGAGCCTAATCCTGTGAGAAATGGAAGATTGCATTTTGGTTTTGTTGATCTTCATATTTATGTGTTTGTGCTGTGTACGTATTCCTTATATTTCAGGACTATCAAAAATCCTATACAGTAGGACCCCACTTACTCGGCGGGTTAGGCTCCAGGCTACTGCCGGAAAGCAGACTTTGCCGGAAAGCAGAACTCCATTTTTTCCATTTATAAATGCATATAAATGCCAGATAAGTTTACACTAACACATATGAAGTTAGCAATAGAACTAGGCATTTAAAAGTAAAATAAACACACAGTACACTCATTATTTACCTCAAAATATTTGTAGTCTTTGTGTAGGGCAAAGGGTGAGTAGTATTTACTCTAAGAAGTCAGGTGTGGTAGCCCTCCTGGCCACCCCCACCCACACATACAATACTACGATGCTTAAAGCTCCCTAAAGCAATAAAATGCATATACAGTGGACCCCCGCATAACGATCACCTCCGAAAGCGACCAGTTATGTGTATTTATGTAAGTGCGTTTGTACGTGTATGTTTGGGGGTCTGAAATGGACTAATCTACTTCACAATATTCCTTATGGGAACAAATTCGGTCAGTACTGGCACCTGAACATACTTCTGGAGTGAAAAAATATCGTTAACCGGGGGTCCACTGTACAGTACATGCATTATTTACCTTAAAATATTTGTAGTCTTAATGGTCTTAATGTAGGGTGAAAGGTGAAAAGTATTTATTTGTAGAAAGTCGTGTGGGAGGTATGGCATCCTGCCTGGCCACTTATATCTACTACGACATTAAGTTCTCTAGAGTGATAAAATGCACATATAGTACACTCATTAATTACCTTAAAATATTTGTAGTCTTAATGTAGGGTTAGAGGCGAGTTTTATTTGTATGAAGTCGGGTTGGGAAGTATGGCTAGCCAGGAAGGGCAGCCCTCCCCACCCACCCACACATAATGTAAACAAACCAGATGAACGGGTTTGGCTTTTGTCACAAGTCCTACAAGTTGCCTGGCTACCACAAGTCCTACAAGTCGCCTGGCTACCACAAGTCCTACAAGTTGCCTGGCTACCACAAGTCCTACAAGTTGCCTTGCTACCACAAGTCCTACAAGTCGCCTGGCTACCACAAGTCCTACAAGTTGCCTGGCTACAACATTTCATATTTATGTTAATTTATTCTACTGTGGGGTGTATTTAGATGGATTAAGCAAAATGTCTATACTGTATTAATGTTGTATACGATATTTAGTGCTCCTTAGAGCGATTATTGTGTTATTATTATTATTATTATGGCATCTTCAAGACTAATAAGACACTCTTAGTGATTTTAATGTGTACCTGCATGCCAGCACAGTGTGTAAGTTTACTTTGATACGTATGTGTACCCGTACCTGTTATAATAATAATGAAGGTATATAGTCTGCCTGGGCTACATACCTACACCTACCTACATATCTACACGATATTTAACGTGGCCCAGACACTCATTACCATCGACATACCATGTTCATCGAGTTTAATCGTTTATAACAATTACCTTTAGATGCCATCATAAACAAATGGAGAAGTAATGAATAATTCAAGCTGAGAATTGTAAACAAAAGTGTTATGTATTAAGGGGAGTGACGTAATGTTTTCCCTCCGCCCGGCTACCACACCTCCATAGTATATAAAAAAAATGTTTATGTTATGTAATGTGTTTCTTATATAATTTTGAAGAAAATATCATAGATGGATTAATGAAAGTGTCTATATTGACGTAAAATTAGACATTTAACGTGGCCAAGAGTGATTATTACGCAATAGAGAGATGTGCTCATGGAGAATGTAAACAAACCGGGTAGCTGATGCTGTATTTGAAAGACCACTTGCCGTATAGAAAGTTTTGGTCATAATTTGAGATTGCCGTATTAGCGGAACGCCATAAAGCGAAATGCCAAAAAGCGGAGCCATACTGTATTATTTATTACACATTTATATTTTTTATTCCTTTATGAATTTCCCTTCAGTAATGTGGTGGCATCATAGAGTTTTCTTCCATAGATATCGAGTTGCCTTCAAGTAGTAAAACTTTTACTGGAATGCTTAAAATATATGCCAGAGGCTAGCACCTGCTGGGTTTTATTTGCTGAAAAACTGTATACATATGTGCAAACATTGAAAATTGCCTGAAACACTATATATAAGGAAAATTAAAAAAACAAATAAACAGACAAAAATGTATGAGTAAAAAATCGTTTGTAAGGAATAGTAAAAACTTTTTTTTTTTGGGGGGGGGGGAGGGGGGATGTAATCTGATTGTGAGCACAGTATAGCTTACTGCCAAGCAGTGTTGCAATTTAAGTCTGTATCAAACACAATTTCTCACCAGGCACTTCACTGTAAGGAATTGGTTAAAAGAAATATATTCCTGAACTATTTGTCTATTTTCTTTTCCCCCTGAAGTCAGTTGCTACACTTTACTCATGAATACTTTGACAGTCTTCTTGTCAGTAATTCTTCAACTTCTGAATGTCTGTGTACTCTCAATCCTCTTCTCAGTTATTCTCTTGAATTTTTGAGCATCTTTCTTACAAGCTTTTCATCAGTCACTTTCTACTCATGTCTGAATATCTTTACAATCTGCCTATCAGTCATTCTCTCATGTCAGAATGTCTTCCTTACAGGCTTTTCACTAGACATTCTTTACACATCTGAACATCTTCCTTTCAGTCCTTCCATCAGTCATTCCCTCATGTTGGAACATCTTAATTACAAGCCTTTCACTGGTCATTCTCTTCACATGTCTGAGCATTTTCCTTACAATTGCCTCATAGGTTTAGTGCTTGGTTTTGATTATAATAATTTCCTTACAATTCTCCCAGTCATTCTTGCATCATGTCTTGACCCATTCTCTTGCCATATACCCTACCTCAGTTGACACTGATCTGACACACTATCTCCTTCCTTTGGCAATTGTTCTTCTCTCGATACCTCTTCCTCACTCTTGCCATGTTATGTTGAATGACTTGTGTTTATTGCTTTCCAAGAATACTGTACAATAATAATACCACTGTCCCTCATACCTTGTTTCTGACCTTTGAGTGTAAGCAAATTATTATAATCACAGGGGAGCACTAAACCTGTAGGATTATAGTGCATGTGGGGGGATGAAAGATATTCAGGGGTTAAAAAGCACATAGGGGAATAGGGAGCAGTCAGGTTTGATCCAAGGAAGAGGACAGGTCCTGTTTCCTTGCATCAAACACCTTTCACTGTCATAAAGGAACCTCCCTTGAGGGGGCATGCCCACAAGAGGCAGGCATTTAAAGTCGATGCAGAAAAAAAATAAGTATACGAGTTTCAGGTGACTGGTGTATGTAATGTGTCATTGAAGGAGCCAATGATGTTTCCGTTACTTATGGAAAATAATTTATGTTGTGGACTACAAGCATTAAAGATGAATGATACATGCCAGAAGGACCATAGCTGTGGACATAGACCAAGGATTTTTCCCCTGTGTTTGCTGTGCAGAGATATCTGTAATTCCTTCTCTCTCTAGTGGAAGTTTGACCTATTCCTGGAAATACAGTCCATTTATGCTCAGTCCACATGGGTCTTCTTCATATGATGAATCACTCAGGGGATTATTGTTATTATAATCAAAGAAAGCACTAAACCGAATCACTCAGGGGAGATTTGTTCATTTGACAGATGCCATTCACTACTTTTCATTTTCACTTTGAAAAAAAAAAAATTAAATATTGCATCATAAAATGTGATATTCAACTTTCTCCACACCATATAAATGAGACGCTGCTCAGCAGAAAACAAGTGCCAAGTTCAAACATGAGAAATAGAGCAGGCCTGGGCAAGATCAAAGCTGTGAAGCTCATGTTAATGTACTTTGTTATGGGGCTCTGAGTGTAGTTTACAGATGCAAAATAGAACACATTGATACATTCACTGACCCAGATTGTGCACATTGTGGTTGTTACGACTTTGATGTTATAACTTAAATAAAATGTTCCTGGCTCCTAAAGGCTGCTCACACTGCTGTCTAGGGGTTATAAAATTACTCTGAAATACAGAGCAAACCTTGAGCCAGCAGGTACTCATACAAATTAAGCACAAGTGCAAATTATTAACGTTGTATAAGGAAGGACACAAAAACTCACCTATACAAAAATATTTATAATACTAACTTACATACAACTTACAATCTACTCCAAAAAAAAAACACCCACCACACTCCATTTCACATTAGCACACTGCTACTAATGAGTTAAAATATTTCAGGGAGGCTCCATGACACACACACCCATCATCGCTTCTGCCCAGTAGACTATTTACCAGCAGGCAAAACACCATAGAGTACTCTTGCAT